AGGATCAGCGCCGTGTCCGTGGCTGAGAGGGTCGCCTTTGAGAGAGCAGAGGATCTTGGGAAAAGCTGTGGCTACAGCGTCCGATTTGAGTCCGTCCTGCCTCGACCCCACGCCAGCGTGCTCTTCTGCACCGTCGGTATGGAAACCGCTGTATACTAAGCGGCGAAGCCGTGGTTACTTGGCTGGGCGGGGGAGGGATTTGGCGGTCCGGCCGTGTAGATCTGAGTGTTTTTGGTGTTTCAGGGGTTCTTCTGCGGAAGCTGGAAGCAGGAATCAGAGGCATCAGTCACGTCATCGTCGACGAGATCCACGAGAGAGACATCAACGTGAGTTTGTCTGTTCGCTGATTCACTGAGCCAAAAACACCCGGGGGCTTCTGTCCACGTGTCCTCTGTGTGTCCACGCAGACGGACTTCCTCATGGTGGTCCTCAGAGACGTGGTCCAGGCGTACCCGGACGTGCGCATCATCCTCATGTCGGCCACCATCGACACCACCATGTTCAGAGAGTACTTCTTCAGCTGCCCCGTCATCGAGGTGTTTGGACGCACCTTCCCTGTCCAAGGTACCTCTGACTCACCGGCCTCACTGTGTGTGGAAACATTAAAATGATGATTGTCTGTGGACTTATAATATAAGCTGAGGATAAGCACTCATTGGCGACCCGTTAGCCGGGCGGTTTGGGTGTAATGGTGAGCGTCCTGCAGGTTTTAGATCTCAGCCTGGGTCAAAACACCTGAATCACATGATGAGTTGATGACCAGGCCTCTGCAGAACTTCAGGACATGTTGAGGAGGTCGTTTAGGCGTTTAAATCAGCTGTTGGATGAAGGACACCGGCCCTCGAGGCCTGGAGGTCCCCTCAACTGTTTTAAGCCAATAATCAGTGTAGTAAACAGTCAAGTCATCTTTATTTATACAGCACATTTAAAAGACATCAAGTGTCGGTCAAAGTGCTGAACAGAGGGATCATATGATAAAAGAATTAAAATAGAAAGAAAACTTTTTTTTTTAAAAGAATTGTAAGACATGTAATATCAAAGAGAGTCTAGACAGCGTAAAGACAACGGCAGAGAGTCTCACAGCCTCGGTGAAAAGCTCGATCCCCACGGGTTTTAAACCTACGTGGGACCACCAGTAGCCTCTGACCTGAAGACCTAAGTGCTCGGGATGAAGCATGAGGTTTCAACAGGTCAGAGCTCTAAAAGTTACAACTAAAATTTTAAAATGAACCCTAAAATTTATCCAATGAAGAGAAGCCAAAACTGGACTAATGTGTGACCTCTTGTTTGTACCAGTTAAAAGTCTCGCCGCTGCATTCTGTACAGACTGAAGG